TGTGAGGATCAAATAAAACAACTTAGGAAATGCATGATTAGCTTAGAACGTGACACACAGTATTCAGTTAATCAATACTCATAGAGATGATCACATTGCACTGCTTGATTTACAATGCCTTTCTTCTTCATTATGTAATACAAATAATTTTAATTTTCAAAGTATAATATACATAAGAGTTCAAACTGAAGGTTACAGTTTGGTGAAATTTCATATGGTGAACATACTTACATAACCAGCTCTCCAGATCAAGAAAACAGATTATCACAAGCCTCACTGAGTGAGAAAGAGATGTGGAAGAGTTTCATCTGAAGGATTAATGGTCGAGTGGAGGGAGTAGTGCTTGCTGAGACACAAACTGAGGTTCTGAAACACTTTTAAGGTCACCAGCTCCCCTTACAGGTAACCACTATACTCATATTATTTTTTGAAATAGATATTTCTTTAGAGTATTATGTAACAGTGCAGCATTAAAAAACATAATACTTAGGAATACATTTGACATAGGTTATAATAGTTATAAACTAAAAAGTATGAACCATCGGTGAGGAAACACTAAAAAGACCTAAATAAATGGAGATACCTATTATGTTCACAAAATGAACTCAATATTGTTAAGGTGATCATTATTTCTAGTTCATCTACAGGGTCAGTGTAATGTCAATGAAAATCCAGCAGGTAGGGCCCTCCCTGGTGGCACAGCCAGTTAAAGCACAGCACTGAGAAGCTAAAGCCACTTCAGCATGAGTTCCATCCCCTCACCGGAGGTGACCCAAATGGTGTGGCAGACCTCTTCTGACCCGCCCTTTGCTCCCCTCAGCAGTGTACTTCATCGATCTGCCTGTTCTACTCCTCATTCTGTCTCAGGTGAGGCCTCTTATTGCCCCTGCACCTCTGGCCTGTTCCCCAGTTCTGGATGCATAAATAAATAAATCTTTAAAAAAAAAAAAAAACCCAGCAGGTAAATTGACATGGTAACTCTAAAATCTGTAAATGCAAAATATCTAAACTTCAGATAGACAATCTTTAGTCAGAAAACAATATTCTGCATAGGATCCATCTTTGGTCCATTGCTACCTTTTAAAAGACAAATATATAAAAGAAGGGCCTCCCTGATGGTACGAGGGTTGAGTCTCAGCACTACCAAGCTGCTGCCAGCTACTGTGGCCTCAGATCGATCCCTGGCAAGGGACCTGGCCCATATGATGTAACAGACCTCTCCTGTCTCACCTGCTGCTCCCCTCAGCAATGTATTACAGTAGATTCACCTGTTCAGCCTCCCACTCTGTTTCTGGTGAGTACTCTCAACCCCCCACACCTCTGGCTTGCACCACAATTCTTGTATGCATAACTAAATAAAAATAAATCTTAAAAAAAAGAAGAAGAAAATGTGCAAAATGATGTAAAAGTAAACTTTGTAATAAATAAAAAAAAAGGAAGAAGAAGAAAGATGATGGAAAGGTCCTGATTCTGGGTCTGAATAGTGGCATTTTGGTCAAGCTTGTAAACACACCTATTTGTTAACTCATTAAATCTTACTCTATATTTTGCAAGTGTTCCTTTTCTGAGATGCAAACAACCTACGCAAATAGCAATCCTGAAACTCCCCAAGGCCTGTGTCCAGCAAGCTTCTTATTAATCATTTTTGGTCTATACATAGACAACAGAGACATTTATGCTGGAAAACACCTAACTTAGTACAGTAGGGCTTGCTGATACAAAGGTGTCAGCTTTTTCTACATAATTTGAATGGCTATGCCATTTATGGAAATGTATTTACAGCCGTAAAGAGGGCTGTGTGTAATAGGATTTAATTAACACAGAAACTAATACAAGCCTGTATCTAAAATAGCAAGAGTTGATTGTCCAAATTTGAGAGTTCAATGGCACATTCAATATGTCTAAGCAGGTTTGACTCTATGGTAACTTGGGTCACCCCACCATATTGGAATTGCCTCAAGCAAATATATGGAAGATGTATCACATTACTTTAAAAAGTACCCCGTTAGGTTCCTCCCTGGTGGTGCAAAGGGTTAGGACTCAGCACTGCAAGTTCAGTGCCAGTTCAGTGCAAGTTCTACCCCTAGCCCTGGAAGTGATCCACATGGCACAGCAGACCTCTCCTGCCTTGCCTGCCGCTCCCCTCAGCAGTGTACTTCGTTGATCAGCCTACTCTGTTCCCCGCTCTGTCTCTGATGAATCCTTTCACTGCCGCTGCACCTCTGACCTGTACCCTAGTTCTGTATGCATAAATAAGTAAATCTTAAAAATAAAGCACTCCATTGTATGACTGGTTAACCTCTAAACAAAATCAGCTCTCTCCAGAGTTTCACCTGATTTCTGAATCTTCTAGGGTTTCCTAGTTTCAAATTTGGGTATGCTGTTGTATCTGTTGTTAAAGCAAATTTTGTTGACTCCACTCTCAAATTTTATAAAATTAAAATCCCAGTTATTGCAGTGAATTCTAATTATTTTTACCACCTCTCCAGCCATCACTCTAGTTTGAAAGATTGTTGTCTCTTCCGTGGACTACTATGAAGTAGAATCCTAATTAGTCTCCTTATGTCTATCCACATCCCCTGCAGTCTATTCTCCACACAGTAGTGTGCCATATCATATCATTTTCATGCTTTAGGTGCTTCTCCATGTGAACTCTCACTCTCTATGTAGCCTTTCATCCTCTGGATTTCCTACTTCAGCAAGGTAACTGGAATTTCTTTCATGGTAGCTCAGGTTCTAAGAAGTAGTAAGCAGAAACAGCCTGAGCTCAAAAGTCCCAGATTATTACTTTTTCCACATGCTATTTATCAAAGCCCCCACTCAAAAGCTAGAACATAAATTTCACCTCTTGATGGAAGGAACAGCATTTGCATTCAATGAGGGATGTAATTTTTTTTTTTTAAGATTTATTTATTTGTACATACAGAACTGGGGTACAGGCCAGAGGCTCAGGGGTGGCGAGAGGTTTCACCAGAGACAGAGTGGGGAGCAGAACAGGCAGATCTATGAAGTACACTGCTGAGGGGAACAGTGGCCGGGTCAGGAGGGGTCTGCCACGTCATGTGGTCACCTCCGGGACAGGCGGGAATCGAACTCATGCGGAAGAGGCTTTAACTTCTCAGTGCTGTGCTTTAACCCGCTGTGCCACCAGGAAGGGCCGAGGGATGTAATTTTTTAGGGCCATGTTTGGAGATTAGATGCCACCCCTGAATGGTCCAGATGACCTAGCTAGGACTAGTAGTCTAATGTTACTTTCTCTTGCTCATTTGGTTCCAGCTACACTGGACCTCTTGTTGCTCCTTGAACATGCCAGACAGGCTCCCACCCAAAACCTTTGCTCTCAAAGTTTCCATTGCCTAGATCATTCTTCTGCCATGTAACACTTGTAGATGTAGCTAAACAGCTACATCTGTGGGGAAGGTTTTCCCTGCCTAATAAACTACCACAAATTTTGCAGATTAAAATTACACCTATTCATTAGCTCACAGTTCTGCATATTAGAAGTCTGGCACATCTTGGCTGGGACCTGTGCTCTCAGTATCATACTGTTAAAATTAGGGTGTTGACTGGGCTCAGTTTTCAGTTTGCAGGCAGGCGCTGGGGGAGAAACTCTCAGTTCATTGTTTGGGAGAATTTAGTTCCTTGTATTCTGGGACTGAGGTCTCTGTTCCTAGAGTCAGGCCACATTTCTTACCACATGGCCCCCTTCCTGTTCTGTAAGAAGTTAGAGAAAACGCCACACTTTTCTTTTTTAAAAATTTATTTATGGGAAACCTGCGGGGATTACAATTGAGATGGGGGGGAGGATGTACAAAATTGATGTAAAAATAAACTGTTATAAATTAAAAAAAAAATTATTTATGGGTACAAACCAGAGCCAGATAGGACCCACCAGAAACAAAGTGAGGAGCAGAACAGGCAGATCCCCTGCTAAGGGAAGCAGCAGGGGAGACAGGTGGCCATGTGGGTCACCTTCCTGGCTGGGGATTGAGTTCGGGCGCTGAAGTAGCCATGGCTAGTAGCTTCACAATGCTGTTCTTTAACCCGTTGCACCACCAGAGAGGGCCCGAGAATGCCCTTCTTTTCAAAGAACTCTAAAACTTAACTAGTTCATACCTAGGAGTAATGTTCCTTTCTTAAAATCAGTTGATTTGAGAAGTACTACTCAAGTGTGTGTTTGGATAACAGAGAAGATGTATTGTATGTGTATCAGTTGCCAAGCTCCTAGGGAACCATCTAGAATTTTGCCTACTATAAAAACCTACTGCTCCCCTTCCCTTATTCTGCTTTATATTTCTTTATAATATTATCTACATTTTATTTTGTAATTACTTCGTTAATTTTTTTGACTTGCAGTTATTAAAACATAAGTTCCCGATAATAGAGATTGTGTTGTTTATGTTCAGTGTTGTGTTCCTAGGACCTAGGACAGTGTTTGGCATAATTAACATTTATTGAATTAACAATTAATAAAAAGGACTTTATGGCTTGTAATTTTTATAATAGGGATGAGATTTTTTGGAAGGTAAAGGTAGATCAAACATGAAAATATGATGTAAGGCGTATTTCCAAGTTAGCAGAGTCACAAATTATTCATTGACCTTTCTTTGCTTGGAAGATTTCTTATTTGAATATTAAAAAATAAGCTGTGAATAGTTGTATAAATGTCCAGTAACTGGTGAATTCAAGAAAAACAAATTAACTTTTTTTATACTCATTATAATAAATTTACATGCTTCAGCTTTGGGTTTTCACCTGTGTATTTCCAGAAAGTGCCCTCCTGTGAACCTTGGAAAATGAATGTTTAGTTGTCCTTAAGTATTCCTAACTTTTCAGTTTACTATGTTATTTATTTATTTATTGTGACTTTCCATGTAATCGTTATTCAGTTACTAATGGAGTAACAGTGAGCGCCATCAGACATAAAATGCCAGACCAGAAAATTTTATTTCCTTCATTTTCAATACTTACTACTTACTTTTAATCTATTCCTTCTACAGACTAAACTTGCCAATGGCACTTCCAGTATGATTGTGCCCAAGCAACGGAAGCTCTCAGCAAGCTATGAGAAGGAAAAAGAACTGTGTGTCAAATATTTTGAGCAGTGGTCAGAGTCCGATCAAGTGGAATTTGTGGAACACCTTATATCCCAAATGTGTCATTACCAACATGGACACATAAACTCCTATCTTAAACCTATGTTGCAGAGAGATTTCATAACTGCTCTGCCAGGTATGTCTGTGTTGTATTAATTTGCCTGGAAGCCATCTGCCAATGGTAGTAGTACTGGATCTCTGCTAAACATGCCTTTTTTTAAAAGTCCTTATTGACTTGAATTTTTTCAAAACTGGGTCCTTTAATAATACCTTCTTGGGGCATAAATAACAGAAAGTCTTTTTTTTTTTTTAATAATACAATAGTTTATTTTTATATTATTTTGTACTTTTTTTTTTCATCTCAATTGTAATCCCCACGGGTTTCCCATCACCAAATCACCCCTGTGCCACCACCAAGTCCAGTGCATTTCCCTCCCCCCACTGTTTTTGACCCCCTTCCCCACTCCACCCCCACAAAATGTCTCTGGTATATGGCTGTTCATTATTATTATTTTCTCTCCTGGTCCATTATACTCCTGCTATGAGCAAAACCATCCAATACCAGAAAGTTTTAACTTAGGTTATAAAGTCCTTTTTCCTGTCTTCATCCTATTTTTTTTTTCAAAGATTTTTTTATTTATTCATACAGAACTGGGGTACAGGCCAGAGATGCAGAGGGTGAGAGGATTCACCAGAGACAGAGTGGGGTGCAGAACAGGCAGATCAACGAAGTACGAAGTATGCTGCTGAGGGGAGCAGCGGGCGGGTCAGGAGAGGTCTGCCGCGCCATGTGGCTCTCCTCCCGGGCAGGAGGGGATCGAACTCATGTGGAAGTGGCTTAAACTTCTTTGTGCTGTGCTTTAACCTGCGCCGCCAGGGAGGGCCTACATCCTATTTTTTACCTACACATAAATGTAAATAAAATCTTTTCTGAGACGTTACCTAATTTGATGTGTATCTTTTATAATGTATCTTAGTTTTAACTGTGTTACCTACTTAGACTTGGATTTGTATGGAGATTTAGCAATAGACTTAGCAATAGTTGTAGGAATGAGTAAGAACTATATTTAAGTATTTTGATAGAAGAGTAACTTGGCAGCCTTTTTATTACATTAAATATGTAAATTCCTGGCTTTGCATTCTTACTGTGTTCAGTAAACTCTGTGTGTGTCCACATTTAAATAAGTATATGGACACTTAAAATATATACATAATTACACTTGAATATTTATACACAACACATACTGACTTAATCCTTTTTATTTGAAGGGTTTAGTTACCAAATTCTTGATATGATGATGTAGGGCATTTCATAGGTATTTGTATTTAAGGGAATTGCTATCAGAAAAATATAAGGTTCACTCATGTATATTAAAAGCTTATTAAAAAAGATAAAAGTATTACAAAGATACATGAATCTTATTTAATATATAACTTGGTTTTTGGGTTTTTTGTTTGTTTTTTTGGGGGGGGGTTGTTTCCTGATTAAGTTATTGGAAATTTAGGAAGAAAACATTATAAAATACAATTTCCAGAATCCCGCTGTTCAGGGGGAACTATTAAATATGCTCTTGGATTTTGGCATGTAGTCTTCCTGTTTTTTCCTCAGTGTATATATTTCCCTCTAAAGCTGCGATCATAGGATTTGTAACATTTTTTCTCCTTTTATCTTCTTAATGAGTTTTTCTAAATGTTCTTTTACAACATAATTTTTAATAGTATTATGTATCCTTTACAAAGGGTTTAACCCCTTCATTGAACATTTAGGTGATTTGAAAAATATGTTTTTCTATTATAAACTATAATACTATGTTAGAAATTCTAATTAATCTTTTCGGCATCCTAGGAGAAATATACCAGAAATGGGATAGCTACATTAAAAAAATTAAGACCATTTTTAAGGCTTTTAGTACATTCACCAAACTGTCCTCCAGGAAAAACATAACTTATGCCCTCCCCAGAACTGCATTTTGCTACTGTGCTTAATCTGTGCCAGTGATTTTTTTTTTTAATTCAAACAAAAGAATGCCTATTTATATCTTAGAAATAGCCATTTTTAAGCTGAATTTGTACCTATATCTTTTGTTAAATAGATTTCTGTCCCCCCTTTACTCATTGAGTTTTGTTTTAGCCATAGGCAAATAGTTTTTTTTGTGCAAACAATCTGTGTGTATCTCATTACTTTGTTCTCCCCAGTCATTAAGACATGCTATGGTCTCAAGCATACACCACTAAGAATTGAACAGGAGCCTATTAGATCTGTGTATCCTTTGCCTAATACTCAGCCCTCGTGTGTATCTGCTGGCTACTTTATAAGGTATTAAATCATCAGTCTAATGCTTTATGGCCATTTTAACTTAGAAACCTACACCATCTGGCTACTTTAGTAAACCAAACTACTTCAAAAAGTGCCTGTAATCCATTAATGTAATGGGTTTGTTTAGAGTGTTAGGTGAAATTACTTCCAAAGACGTATTATAGGGACATAGTGAAAGATCAGTAGCAATTTGATGGCAACCATTAAAAACACAGGAATGCACTTTGGAAACTTCTGATGTATAGGAAGCTTTAATATAGAGATGCAGAAATTGTACCATCATTGCTTTTTGTATGAAGAGCTAATTATTATTGCTGTAATTGTATTATAGTTGTGTTCATTTGCTAAGAATTAGGTGATAGATGCCTCCATCTGCTTACACTTTAATATCAACATCTGATGCCAACCAAGTAAGATACATTTAATGCATTCTTTCCCAAATCTGCTGAGAAATATGACTGATATTCACACAATCTTTATAATTAGAATAATGTTTAAGCACATTTGAATTGTTGCTAATGGCATCCAAGTGTGTCCTTGCAGGGTTCAGAGGAAAGGTACAAAGTGAAATTTCCTGTTTAAGTTTGTGCCTAAGGGAGTTAATGGAATACTTCTGCACTATTTAAGTCTGTAGCCAAACTGGTATGTAACCTGTAAAGAGAAATAACTTTAAATGTTTTTGTCTCACTTGTGAATTAGAACAGCAGCAAAAGGGTTTACTAGTGCCGTCATCCTATTTTATAGAATCTACTCCTCTGAGGCGTTAGTGTACATTTGAGCGATAGAGAATATTGACCACAAAGCTCATCTGGTTTACACAGCACAGGAACTACTTCTACTGTTTACCTTTGTACATCCTACAAAATAGTGTCTGAATTCTAGCAAGTGATTGTTGGTCTGGTATTTTTTTGGTTTTGGTCAACTGTCATTTAGTAGGTTTTATAACAACAGCTATTCTCAAATAATAGGGTTTTATTTTTTGTTTGTTTATTTTGTTGTTAACTTCTTGAAATTAAACTCTTCCTTGAACTTGAACATACCTCTCTGTCACTCCTCTTGGGATGTTCCTGTACCAATTTGTATTTCTTCCTCTCCTTTCTGCATGCCCAAAATTCTATAACCCAGCACATTCTGACTTAGTGCCTCTCCCTGAGTACATTTAAAGGATATTTCTTTGACTGAACAGCTTTGGAATTGCAGCAGTAATAGAAACAGAATGAGAAATGGACCTAATATAGAGATTTGGGGGGGTCTGAATCACAGAGTTTGAGATGCCATCCATAGAACATCCCCTAGTGCTGAAATCCATATAGATAGATGTGAATTGTTTTCTGGAATCCTTTTTATTTTTAATGTCTTGGGGGTTTGCTGGTTGTTAGCTTTAACTTCCTTATCTAAAGGAAGATGGAAAATACTGTTCATTTCTATAACCTTATGGAAAAATTATTGACACTCATTTTACCCAAGTCTCTGTTTGAACAAGAATCTGGACCTCACAAGGGACAGGGATATGCCTTCACAGCAGAACAAATGCTGTTTTGTTTTAAAGGACCTTTTGTTAAAAAAAAAAAAATCATCCACCACCACTTTTGTGCTTTTTCTTTGTCTCCTCCCCTCACCAAAAGCTCGGGGTTTGGATCACATTGCTGAAAACATTTTGTCATACCTGGATGCCAAATCACTATGTGCTGCTGAACTTGTGTGTAAGGAGTGGTACCGAGTGACATCTGATGGCATGTTATGGAAGAAACTCATCGAGAGAATGGTCAGGACAGATTCTCTGTGGAGAGGCCTGGCAGAACGAAGAGGGTGGTGAGCTATTTAATTTACTTTCTTCAGAGCTTCACAACCTGACTGTGAACAGTGTTTGGAATACTGTATAAACTAGTAAGACCGTTTATTTAATACAGTGATTTTACTGACTTATAACAAGAACATGTGAAAACACTTGTTCATGTACTTTTCCTCTGACCACTCATATGTGATCAAATAATATGGTATATACTGCTTTGAAAAAAAATAATGGAAAACTGACCTGCCCTCTTATTTATTTTTTTAAAGACTTATTTATTGTGCCTATGAGAACTGGGGCACAGGCTAGAGGTGTGGGCAGTGAGAGGATTCACCAGAGTCAGAGCAGGAAACAAAAAACAGATTGACTAAAATACACTGCTGAGGGTAGCAGCGAGCAAGACAGGAGAGGTCTGCCACACGATGTGGGTCAGCTCTCTGGCCGGGGATGGATCTCATGTTGCAGTGGCTGCTGATAGCTTTGTAGTGCTGTGCTTTTAAAGGCCCTGCCCTCCTATTTAGAGCATTCTATTCTCTGAGTAGAAATTAGTATCCTGGAAAAGGGCAACTTATAAGGAAAATAAATGACTGAACACACAGAATCCATGAGATCCAGCCTTTCCCCCCCATAAAAAAATACTTATTTTCTCCTGCTGAAGATTTCTTGCTTATAGCCCATGCCTATACTGTTTTATCACCTTTGTAATCAAAATTATTTTTTATGCCCTAGTAGAATAAGAACCATAGCTTATCAGGCACAATGATAAGTCATTGTTAATGATTTGTTAACATGAAATTAATATTCTTATCCTTTCTTGAGATATGCTACAAAATTCTAAATTCTTTTAAAGCATTATGTAGTTAGCAGTCTAAGAGACATCACTGATACACTGTTCTTGTAACATTTCATTAAAACATCTGGAAGATGTCTCCCTTATATAGTTTTCACCAAAGATGTCTCTTAAAATGTTACTCTAAGAAAGTTAGGTCTAAATGTTTCAAAATAACAGAGACATGTTAAGTATTTTAGTTGTAGGTATGTCCCAGCACAGGTGTGCATATGCTCAGTGACAACCTGAGCAGGTAATTTTACCAATTGTTAATCTTGGATCATAAAGAAATGCAAAACAGTTAAGAATGAAGGATCATCTTTCTTAGCAATTTGCATGAAAATGCAGTAGGTTCCCTTCTCTGTATCTTTGAAATAATACATAATAAACATTATAACCTCTAATACTTTACCAAGAGATATCTGTCATTCTAGATATTAGGAAGACTTTTTAATTTTTCTGTCAAATTGAGTTAATGGAAACAAATGCCAGTAATTATTTGGCGACATAAAAAAATGTTTAATTTCTTTTGTATAAATCAAAGATTATGTCTATTTCTTTTCAAATATTTTCTTATTCTTCACTGTATTTGAAAAATAGGAATCTTTTCATACTTTGGAAATAAATTCAAAAGCAAGTAAGTACCTAGTCACACAACATTCAAAGTCTCCCACTGTGCTACGTGTCAGGACCAACTTTAGAGCAGGCATTGCTTACATGTGAGTAATCACAGGGCAGTTGGGGTCAGGGGATGCTGAAGGACAGGAGAAAACTCTCCTCCAAAGAACTCCTCACTTGGAATATCACTTACTGAACATCATTCCCACAGCTTATAAAGGTTTTGTTTCCTGTTAAAATACACTTTGTTCCTATTTGGACTGTAAATGACAGTATCTTTGTCAGACATACGAGGCTTACAAAGTCCTCTTTCAAGGCAAGAAGAACAAGTAGAAGGGCAGATCTTGCCAAAAGCATGTGAAAATACCAAAGATGAACATGGTTTCTCCAGTTTTGTTTAGGGTTGGCAGTAAATCTAAATATGCTGAGTTAGTTAAGGGGTGGTCAGGAGTGGAATGCTAGTTTGGGCACCTTTCACAAAGGTATGTGAAGGTACAATTGAGAAATAATTCAGCATTGTCTTCAACACAGAAATCCACACCTGCTCCTTTGAGTATCCTTCAGTGTTCTAACTGTATCCCTTGCCTTTGGCCACATTTATCACCTTACTTTTATAGAGCCTCATGAAATTAATGATTATATGTCTATCCCTGAAGACCTTCAGTATCCCCTTGACTTTCTGTGGCTGCTTCTATTTTTTTTCCCCACACCCCTCCCCTGCTTCTATTTTACTTGATGCCTTTCTTCCTATGTTTGTTGTCTTCCCCACCTTTAAAATTCAAAAAATTAATCTATGATCAGTTTCTCATTTTCTTCTTTCAAGTGTCTTACCAAGCCTACTATTTCAATAAAGTTTTTCTTTTATACCTTCCCCCAAATGAAATGAAATAAAAAATTTCCTTCAACCAAAAATAAATAAGTAAATACAATTTTCTAATAAAGTTTTTGGATTTAATGGCTTCTCCTTTACTGTTATAGTTTGTATCTAGATGAATTTGATAGTCTGCCCCCAGGATATGAACTCTTGTCATTTTTCTCTTGAATAATACTGAATGTATTCTCTGTTCAGTAATGGTAACTCTTTAAAGTATAATAAAAGATCACTTGGGAAAATTCCATTTTCTTAATCAGCAGATCACATTTTATGATAACATTCTGGATTTAATATATAGCATTTATCATGTATTCTTACTCTCAAAGGTACTAGACATTCACATAGAAGTGGTCCCTGTTGTCAGTAAGCTTTCAGCATGAAAGGTTTGAGCTTTACAACACAGATATATACTAAGAAACCAGTTTTTAACAGCTAGCCACCCTTTTTTGGTAATTCCTTTGATTTTGAAGGAATTCAGATAATTTATTGGAAGGCATGATAAATACAGTGAAATTGAAAATGCTTTCAGAGGTTTATATGATGACTCTTTTCATGTAATATAGAGATAGTTTCATTGCATGTAAAGAAAATCCTGTGGTACCTGTGTTCAGTTGCTAGAGATTAAGATTAAAAAACAGTAATCTCTAAGGAATAGTGGGTACTGAAGAGATGACAATAAAGACTACAGGCTCAGAAGTATGACTTAAATTCCAATCCTGGATCTATCAGCTAGTAAGCTTTCTGACCTTGGGCAGGAACTTAAAACCCTGCTGACATTTGATTTATCTGTAAAAATGAATACAGTAATTTCTACCTCATTAAAAAATATTGGAGTTGAAATTATTAAAATATAATTTTTACCAGATTTAGAATTCTTCAGAGTCTGTTGTTTGCCTGCAATGTGTTTATAGAACAAAGTGGTTTCAAAAAGTGAACCTTTAAGCCAGAAATTTTTCATACTGTATTTTGTTTGCCTACTTACTTTATATGGGTATATGATGTTTCTTGCTTATATTAGTCCCTTTTTAAAAACTATTAGTTAGCTTTTTCATTACAGATTTCTGTGTTAACATAGAAATCACAGCCAGCTACCTTCCTTGATAGGAAATTTTCTCAACTAATTTTCAAGGTGTATAATAGAAAGAGGGCAGGGAAGAAGCGCTCCTGGAGACATCGACAATTAATTATATTGTAATGGAGCTATAGCAGGAGGAGTGGATGACTGGCCCAGAGAAAACATGATTTCTCTGGTGCCAGGATTACACTCAGAGGCATTTCTGTCTGTCTCCACTTTGCAAGGCATAGTGCCAGTGAAAACAGCAGTTAGTACACCCATAGTGGGGTTTACTAGCTTCCACACCGTGTTTGGTGGATTCTTAACTTCAGGATAAGGAATTAAATTTTTTACCCAGCAGGAAGTGATTGCCACTTACTGATTTTTTTTTGTAGCAAAGATCTAGCTTGGGATATGAGTATTCCAGATATGTGCTGTCATAAGAAAGGAGAAGCTAACAAATGCTGCTCACTGGAGTCAAGGAAAGCCAGTAAAATGCATGTATAGCTGTACGTAGCCAGGAACACACCTGTGAAAGCCAGTTTCATGCTTTAGACTTGGCGTCTCAGTGCTCTTAGGTATTTCTCTTCATCATCCTCCATACCTTCTGCTGGATACTCCTATAATTCCTGTTTTCTGTAGAAAGGAACTGAAGTGCTCCTTTTACAGCCTAGCTACACTGATCACCAGCAGTGTGGTGAGCTGTAGTGCACCTTACCCCACATGAGCGAAGCCTAGAAAAGTGGTCTCCATGACAGAGGTGTTGCTACGGTGTCTGGGGCAGGGCTCCACTGACACTGGCAGGGCTTTTTACTTGGTAAACAAGGATGTCTCTGTGGCCTGTGCCTAATCAGAGGTAGGAGTTATCAGTAACAAAAGAGACTATGTCTGCAACAGAGGTCTGATAGGCTGATAGATTATAACATTCCTGAAGATTTGATCCACTAGTGTTCTACAATAGAAATCATCATGTTTTATCCAAAAGCAAATCTGAGTTCTTAGAGCGCAGAAAGTTTCTCCTTGATGCAGGACTCATAAACTAAGACTTACCTTCACACTGCTCCAGTCTTGTTATGGAGATGATATGGAATGTAACTGTAAAAACACTGAAGAATGAACCTCCTTGTAAATGTGTCATAATATGATATTTAATGAAAAATGTTTGTTGTTTTTTAGGGGACAGTATTTATTCAAAAACAAACCTCCTGATGGGAATGCTCCTCCCAACTCTTTTTATAGAGCACTTTATCCTAAAATTATACAAGACATTGAGGTAAGAATTATGCATATTGGGGTATTTGCCAAATATTAGAGAAATACCAGCATTCTTCAACAGCTGCATTGTTACAACAAGCCCATTAAGGTTTATTGATGTGGATTAAAAATCAGTTTCTTTACAAGTGAACAAGGTAGGTAAAATTTAGTAAATAACCAAGAAAAAAATTCAAAGCTCTTAAAAATTGTTTACAGGTAGAAAAATAGGTAGGTAGATGAACGAGAAGAACAATGTCTTCTTGCTACAATAGCAGTGAGATTGTTGAAGTTGTCTTTATAAACTGGTACTCAAGTATCTTCTGAGTTGAGTCACCATGGAACTTCACTGGAAGAACTGGCTACCACATATGTAAGAAAAGCACTGAGCATATAACCTCACCTGATTCAGAGTTTACCCTCTGTTGATGAGCAGTCTCTTCTCACAAGGTTTATTATTTAATTGAATGAGTTATCTGCAGGAAAGTTCTAGAAAATATTTTTTTATTTTAATAGCCCAGAGGTCTTTTTTTTCTTTTTTCCTCATACCTATTATGCCATGAATTCATAGGAGATGGGTTTCAGCTCCTCAGGCTTCTTTCTGTTGGTTCTCATAAAATGTGTAGGCTACCACTTGAGTTGAACCCAAGTTAACTTTTCCTTTTCTGTCTGATCATTTTCTTTCACATTTCAGAAAACTTAGAGTGGCTAGTATATTCAGTTACAAACATTACTCCCTTGACAAGAATCTTGCCCTTTGTTTACAATCACGCTAACTGCACGCTGGGTAACATCATACACTCTTCCAGTTTTGCCATGGTGACATGTGAGGTTTCCCTTTTTGAACGGTGCCCATCTTCCCAGTGTCTACATTACCACTTTTCTTGTAGGTTACCATGTATGTAGCCAAAGAAACAACTCCATGCCTTCTAAAAGGCCTAAAGAACCTATAGTGGGCTTCCCACCTTCTCCTTTGTGTTGGTCATTTTAGTGATTTACTAGAAGATGACTGTTATAGCCAAAAAAGTAAAAATCTTTTGTTACCTTGTAAATGGAAAATTTTTTATAAATTTTCTCTATGCCCTAAATGCTAATGTATCCCATAGAATTAAGCATTAAGCATTTGCCCTTGGTTGCCAATGACAGTCACCTAAGACTCTAGTTCTGGTCCTTACCTAATTAGTCTTTTTACAATTCCTTCTTCTCAGACAATAGAATCTAATTGGAGATGTGGAAGACACAGTTTACAGAGAATTCACTGCCGAAGTGAAACAAGCAAAGGTGTTTACTGTTTACAGTATGATGACCAGAAAATAGTAAGCGGCCTTCGAGACAACACAATCAAGGTAAGCTTTCTAAAGTTGTGGGAATGTAAAAGGAGCAAGGGAGGGTAACCACATTCATAAAACAATCCAGAGCATAAACTCTAAGCATTATTTCCAGAAAGTAAATAATAATAGTGTTAGGTTATTGGGCCCTCCCTGGTGGAGCAACGGGTTAGGACGCAGCAAAGCACACTAACCACAGCCGCTTCAGTGCAAGTTCAATCCCTGGCCCCGGAGCTGACCCACATGGCACAGCAGACCTCTCCTGACCCGCCTGCTGCTCCCCTCAGCAGTGTACTTGGTCGATCTGCCTGTTCTGCTCCCTGCTGTCTTTGGTGAATCCTCTTACCGCCCTGTATCTCTGGCTTGTACCCCAGTTCTGTATGCATAAATAAATCTTTTTTAAAAACTTAAAAAAAAGAGTTTTAGGTTATTTCCAGCCCCAAAGTGAAAATCGTGCGTTACAGGACAGGACGGATACCTGCTTGCCTCCCTGCCCAAAAATATTACATTGAGATATGAGTAGTCCTAGGGTTAAATACTCTTTTCTTGAAGTATACTATCACTCTTGTGGCCCTCATATAATTATAGCCTGAACGAAAAGGATATGGTCTGCTTGTGTGTGTGCGTGTGCGCGTGTGCGTGTCTGTATGTGTGTGTGTGGGGGGGTGCTTAGAATGCATTCCACACTACTCTGGGCTTTGGTTCTTTTGAGGACTCAAACTTATATTAGAACCAACAAGTCTCTAAGTCTCTGCAGCACTCATTACCATAGTGAACAAAAGGATCTTATTTGCCATCCTAGATCTGGGATAAAAGCATTTTGGAATGCAAGCGAATTCTCACAGGCCACACGGGTTCTGTCCTGTGTCTCCAGTATGACGAGAGGGTGATCATAACTGGGTCATCGGATTCCACCGTCAGGTAGAAAATTTCAGATGATCTTTTGAACTAGTTTATGTTTTTGTTTTTGGTTTTTACATTGAAGAAACCACATATTCTATTTTAATTTGGATGAATCATCTATTATAGAAACTTAGTAAATCTCTGCATATCTTACAAAAACCATCTCACAGGGGAATGACATGAATTGAATGAAGCCTTCCTTTCAGGTGGTTATAACTGTAGTGCAGGCAAGCATTATGTCCTTTAAAAATGTGTACAGGTGAGCACTGCTCTCTCTTTGCCAGCCCCTCCCTTGCTGTCCCTGCAGTTTTTAATTGCAAGCTTCACTCAGGGAGGGGCCCTCAATTTCCAGAGGCGTAAGTGATTTGATGACACAGCCATTATGCTGCTGGAGTCCAGTGTAGCTTGAGTTCTGGGTACCAGCAGCACCGCTGGAAACCTCTGTTAGGAGTTTTGCCTTAAGCTAAAGGAGCTAGCAAACATAATGCATCAAAAGTAACTTTAACAAAATAGAAAAAAAAAACAACAGTTAACTGCATTGTTAGATTCTCTGAAGTCAAATGTTTAACATTTCAAGTTATCCTTCTGTGATTATAGAAGGTGGTTCCTGTTTGATGTCTTTTGACTTAAAGGCATAGCAAATTCATTTCTTAAAGTTATCGACATTTAACATTTACTGGTGTGTGTGGAGTGCCTAAAGGAAGCTGAAACATGGTAGCAGCTAACATCTTTTCTAGGATAAGGGAAAAACAGTTTTCTAAGAAAGGGGGTTAAACTGGAAAAGAAAGAGAATGTGCTATAAAAACTAAAGCAGATACCCAAATAAAATAAAATATATCGTCACACACAATTCTCAAGCTACCCAAAAGCCTCATGCGCTGTGCTAAAATCTGTATTGACACGGGGATAGCTATTATTGGCCCTTACCACATTGAAAGCACAGAAATTAGATGAAATCTTAACTCCAGTCTTCTTAAATCCAGTCTACAATACCAAGTCATTCTCTTAGAGACGCTTCTTGGCCTATATCTATTCTAGTTCCTGGCTGCTACCCTGGGACATTGGTGCTGCTGTTAGTAGTTAGATTCCCAGTTTTAAATGTACCCCATTACTGATAACAGATTGAGTGTCAGACATTTTCTAATAATCTTGAAGTCTGGGCCCAATTAGAAGGTGTTGGTAGCTGCTACCTTATCCTTGCCTCTCACAACTTGCCCACAATTCAAGCAGTATGTCTTAAGGGTTTCATATCAGTAGCATCCCCTTCCTTCTACTCCCCAGCCCAGCCATCTGCCTTCCACTTCCCCATCAGCAAGTAGTCTTTACTTAGCCTAGCCTTAAAGCTATAAAAGAGTAGGGTAGGGCCCTCCTCGGTGGTGCAGCGGGTTGGAGCGCTGCATGGGGAAGCTAAGAGTTAGAGCCTCAGCCCCAGAGGTGACCCACATGGCACAGTAGACCTCTCCTGACCCGCCCGCTGACCCCCTTAGTGTACTTCGTCGATCTGCCTGTTCTCCTCTCCACTCTGTCTCTGGTGAATTCTCTTGCCACCCCCTGCACCTCTGGCCTGCACCGCATTTCTGTATAAATAAATTTTTCAAAAAAAAAAAAAGGGTATAACACTATGAAATGGGGGTGGAGTGAGTACTGTAGAACATAGCAGTCAAATAATTTAATTATAGCATGATTGCCACCAGAACTTTGAGTAACCTCCCTAATATTGTTTGTTCCAGGGTGTGGGATGTAAATACAGGTGAAATGCTAAATACACTGATACACCATTGTGAAGCAGTTCTGCATTTGCGTTTCAATAATGGCATGATGGTGACATGCTCCAAAGACCGGTCTATTGCTGTCTGGGATATGGCCTCCCCAACCGACATAACTCTGCGGAGGGTACTGGTTGGTCACCGAGCTGCTGTCAATGTTGTAGACTTTGATGACAAGTACATCGTTTCTGCATCTGGGGATAGAACTATAAAGGTAACAAGGCATTTTTCAGTAGGTCCCCTTTACAGTAGACAAGTTCATATGGAAATTTGATCATGGGCAATTTCATATTAAACCTAAGTGTAGAATGAGTAATTAACTCAGACACTAGTCTTTGTGTAAAAAGATAGTGAGTGAGATAAGTTGTAAGGAAAAACATATCTATATGACCAGATTCATCCAGAGTGAGTAATTTAATTTGAGGAATCCTCAAATTACATTACAGCCAGCTACAAATTAGCCCTTTAGTGCTATGAATAATGCTTCCCATGTTCTTGGTTTGTTCTGAGAATTGAACTTACCCCTATTAGTTCAGTCCTGTTTTTTGCTTTTCCAAGACACCAGTTGCCATAAATTTTACTAGGTAAAGCGCTAAATCATTTGTTGTTTTCTGTTTCAGGTATGGAACACCAGTACTTGTGAATTTGTAAGGACCTTAAACGGACACAAACGTGGCATCGCCTGTTTGCAGTACAGAGACAGGCTGGTTGTGAGTGGCTCATCTGACAACACTATCAGGTGAACAGCAGAAGGGATCAGTATTATCCTGCCATTCATTAAATCTTTGGCTTATATTTATGTTTTGCCTTTCTATTGTTTGTTATAAGCCAGAAGTTTGCCCCAAGTGGAGAGGCAGCACAGCAAAGCTTTTTGTTGATGTGTTTCCTCTTTGTTAATAATTTTATCACCAGATAGACCTACTTAAAGATAGTGCTTAAATGAGGGAGTCAGAAAGATGGATAAGAAGACAGATAAGATTGAAGACACTGTTTACAGTTCTTCTGTTTATAGTTGAGAAGTGCTAATAAATAGCGAAAGCACTTTTCTCTCTACCACTTTCAGTTTTGTTTTGTTTTGTTTTGTTTTTTTAATTTAACTCCCTGCATTTTGTTTTCTTAGCAGCATATTGGTCAAGGAGTTACCCAGTTGTTAAAATTAATAAAGAACTAAAAAGCCTAAGTAATTTTTGTTATTTTCATAAAGATGAATGACACAGATATGAATAGAATTTGGAAGATTTGTCAATTCCTTTCTTTCAAAAAGGGTGAAAAGACCATTTTTTAAAAATAGCAAGCTACTTCTACGAAATTTTCAGTCCTAGAATCACTTAGATTGATCTGAAAGCATAATTTCTTAAATTAGTTCAAAGTTAAGTTTTTGAGGACTAAATTTGTATTTCTGTTATATGAGACAGACTGTTCTGGGCAGGGAGTGAAGTGTCCTCAGTGAGATGTACTTTGTTGAGGACAGGATGTCACTGACATTGCATCGCATTCTTACTGGTTTTTTCAAGAAACATTAATTTTCTTAGCTAGGTCATTTCCTTCACAGGCAGCTGTGTGCTTTGAACTCAGCCTTTTTATGTCTTAGAGCTCCTAGTTACAAAATTATATAAATCACTGTGCTTGGAAAATATATATTATGTTTGAATTTAAATCTGAGTTTCTACCTGACTTTTATGACAGAAAGGTATAAATTTCACTGAAGGTACTACATCTTTGCATGGGTATTGATTTTTTTTTTAAAGATATGAAGTATATTATTACTACATTCCAATCTTAGAAAAGAAGTAAGTATTGGTGAAAAATCACATGACACAATTTTCTCTTGCAGATTATGGGACATAGAATGTGGTGCTTGTTTAAGGGTGTTAGAAGGCCATGAGGAATTGGTGCGCTGTATTCGATTTGATAATAAGAGGATAGTCAGTGGCGCCTATGATGGGTGAGTTTGCTAACAAGATTTAAGGAAAATCTACATCTTAATCCCGCTTACCTTAGATGTTCAATATAGCCCTTCCTCTTCTCTAAAAGAGTTTACATTTCACAGAAAAGATCTGAAGCATTATTTCTGATGTCTTTGTATTCATCTCTAAAATGTTGTCCCAGTGATTTGATTGCACTTGTTTGCTCACTGTTTTCATTTATATTTTGGTGATTTGGTTATATTTGTCTGTTTTTACCTATAAAGCAAAGAACTGGACAAGCCCAGTACCACAAGATATGCTTACAAAAGAGTGACTTACTCAGAAAATTGAAACACTGGGTACAGTGTCTTTGGGGCTTAGTATGGTAGGATCTTGAACTTTGATCTCTTTAAGTCATTTCTAAAAGTGTAGCTCTTTTATCTTCACTTCATCTATCATTTCAGTTACAGTAAGTTCAATAACCTCTATCCAAGAATGAATATGAGAATCAAGTCTCTAAAACAAAATCGTTTATTTATATTCCTACATTTACCATATAAATTACATTCACCATACGTATTTGTTGCTGTGACTTTTTGCCATTCTTGCAGTGTTCCCTTAATTTTTCTTTTAAACTAAGATTTTTTTTGTCCCCCTTTTGATCTTTAGAAAAATTAAAGTATGGGATCTTGTGGCTGCTTTAGACCCCCGTGCTCCTGCAGGGACTCTCTGTCTACGGACCCTTGTGGTAAGAGCCTTTTTCGGAGGGGGTTGGGGAGCACAAAGGGGAAGAAATTAAACATTCCTGTGCTGTGGAATACAAATCCAGATTTGATGGTTAGAACCTCATATAACCTACTGCTAAGTGAAAGGCAACCACTACATGACGATAAAATATGTTTATATAGCGCCTTTCATCCAGAAGTGCTTTAGAGACTATATACGGAAAGGAGTGTTGCAGCTGCTTAACAGCTGCACAGCAACTCTACACAAGTCTAGTACAGGAAGTGAATAAGAATTCTGTATCCACCAGAAACAGCAGGGGCCGCTTAGGGAGAGGGAGCATAATCACTCAGGCTGGGGCCTGTCCAGGAACTGAGGGCCTGCACACCTGTGCCCACAGAAAGTGCCATGGGAGTCGCATGAACCCCTGGCCAGCCACTTCGTTTTGGGTCCTAGTCAAGGCATGCTGCCTCTAGCAACTTGAATCCTGCCATTTTTGTTCCTCATATAACCCCTTGCTTGGACGTAAGGACTTGAAGGGTGCTGAGGGGGGTTGAAAGTAACTCAGAATAAGGAATGTCACCATGGAAAGCACAGCATTCTTTATCAAGGTGTTTACCAAAGGTCCAGATTAGAAAATGGCTTAAAGTTAAAAGCTGCTTTCATTAAAAAAAATTAGGTGGGGTAACAGGGAACACAGAATTTTTGCACAACCCAGGAAAATGGTGTGAGGAAGCTTTTTGAGCCCAGTGTACTGAATCTAGGTTCGCAACATTTAGGCAGTCTCTTGCTCTGGACAATAGTAGATACCTTTCTTTGTCTTCCTTACTTAAAGTTCATTTTTCAGCACCAGACATGCTATACCTGCATGTTTTATACTTTTTTTTAATGTAAGTACTTTCACTCATTTACAGTTAATCTAAGTCTGGTTTTTGAAGTATAATATACACACTACCAAATTTGCCCCCATTTATAGTGTTGTATGAATTTTGTGTACATACCACAATCATGATATAGAGCATTTCTGTTGCCTCAAAAGTGATACTTCTTTGTATCTGTCCCCTCTCCTTCCCAACCCCTAACAACTATTCATCTGCTTTCTATTCCTATATCTTTTTTGTCTTAATGTCATATAAATTAAACCATAGAGTATGTAGTTTTTTTATGTTTGGCTTTTTTCACTTGACTTGAAATTCATTCATACAGTTACTGTGTCTTTTTGTTGCTGTTGTTGAATAGTATTCCATTGTGGGGATGAGCCACTTTATTCATTCATTCACTGGCTTAAGGACATTTGGAATGTTTTCAGTTTTTGATGATACTGAAAATACCCTCATACAGATTTTATATATATATATATATATATATATATATAAACACACACATACATACATACATACATATATATATATACAAACACACACATATACATATATATGTATATACGTGTGTGTGTGTATGTAGTTTTCTCTTGGATAAATATTTAGGAATGTGATTTCTGGGTCCTATGATAAATATGCATTTGCATTTTAAAGAAACTACCAAGCTATTTCCCAACTTTGGGAGTTTGCAAATGCAAACCATTTCATATCTCCATAACAGTGTATGAGAATCCCATTTTTCCAAACCTTTGACAGCACTTGATAGTTTCCATTTTAAAAAACACTACCATTTGAGTTGGGTGTATAGTGGTTGTAATTTTAATTTGCATTTCTATGATAACTAGTAGTTTAGGGCATCTTTTTGTGTAATGTTTTGTTGTCTGTCCAAATCTTCGCATCATTTACTTATTGAGTTGTTTTACTAATTTTTTAAAAGCAGCTATTAACATATACTTGATCTATAATATTTAAAATGCACGACTAAATAAATTATGCATATGTACATACCAGGAAAGTTGTCATTTCAACCAAGATAATGAACATATCTTCTGACCCCTGCAACGTCCCTTCTTCCCAGCCTGCCCCTTTTTTTCTTTCTCCAGTCCCCAGGCAACCAATCTACTTTCTGTCAATATTAGTTTGTGTTTTTTCCATGGCACCATTCTCTAGTCCCTTAAAACTATTTTTTGAAAAGCAGAAATTCTTGTTATTGAATTAATTTTTCTTTTATGGATTGTGTTATTTACTATTATATTTTTAAGATCCCTGCCTAATCCAAAAATCATGATTTTGCCTTTTGTTTTCTTCTTGAAGTTCTGTGTTTTAAATTTTACATTTTGGTATACAATTCATGTTGAGTTAATTTAGGAGAGTAGTACAAAGTATGGATCAAAAATGTATTTCAATATTCAATCATTCCAGTCCCATTTATTCAAAAGACTATTATTGTTTTTCTTCTAAATTGCCTTTGCATCTTTATCAGAAATTACTGTTGGGTCTACTTACAGCTCTGTTCAGCTCCATTGTTCTTTTTGTCCAGCATGAGGCCAATATGGGGAAACTGGCTACAGCAGCTTTGTAATAGCTCTTTGTGGGCAGTCCTTTGAATTTCTTTTGAATTTTCATGTGAACTTTAGAATCTGTGAATTTCAACAACAAAATAAATCTGGGATTTTTTGTTGGGATTGTTTTTATTGTAGATCAATTTAGAGAGAATTGACTTCTTAGCAGTACTGAGTTTTCTAGTTCATGAACACAGTATATCTGTCCATTTATTTAGGTCTTTTTAAACTCCTCAACACTGGTTTATATTTCAGTATAGAGTTTTCACAAACCTTTTGTCTTATTCCTAAGTATTTCACATTTTTAATAGTATTTTAAAGTTTCATTTTCTAGATTATTTGTGGCAAGTATATAGAAATACACTTTTACTTCTTTTCTAATCTGTCTATCTTTAGTTTTTCTTTCTTGTTCAATATTCAAAAGAACTGCTAAAATGGATGTCCTTTTCCAGGGGGAAAAATCACTTGGTCTTCCAGCATTTTATATATATTTACCTATAGACATAGGTTAGCTATAGGCTTTTTTGTAGGTTCATTTATAAAGTGGTTAGGACGTTCTTTTTCTTTGTAGATTGTTGAGACTTTTTATAAGGAATGGATATTGCCTTTTGTGTAAGTGCTTTTTATCTGTACTCATTGAAATGATCATGTGATTTTTACCCTTGTTCTGTTTGTTGGTATATTACATTGATTTTGCTATTAAACCAGGTTTGGCATCACTACAGATCATAGCTATTAAAAGGATAATAAAGGAATACTATGAATAGGTCTTTGCTCCCAAATTTTATAACTTAGATTAAATGGATCAATTTCTTGAAAAATACCATCTTCTGCAACTGACATAGGAAGACATGGACAATCTAAATAGATCTGATCCTATTAAAGATAGGAATCAATAATTAATAATCTTTCAAAACAGAAAGCACTGGGCCCAGATAGGTTTACTTGTGAATTCTGCCAAATGTTTACGGAAGAAATAAATACCAGTTCACTACCATCTTCTCCAGAAGCAGTGAATACTTTCTAACTCATCCTATGGAGGCAGCAGTGCTCTAATATCAAAACCAGACAAATATATTAGAAGAGAAAAGTCTAATATGTCTTGTGAACACATAGACTCATCTATGAGCTCATTTACCCTCTTGTATAGAATGTAAAAGTGGTGCAACCTCTGTAGAAAAACAAGATGACCGGTCCTCAAAATAATAAAGGTAGATTACTATATGATCCAGTACTCTCTCTCTGGGTATATAGTCAAAAGAATTGAAAGACGGTCCATCCTGGTGGCACAACAGGTTCAAGCACAGCACTGTGAGGCTGTAGCCACTACAGCACAAGTTCTACCCCCAGCCAGGAAGCTTACCTCCATCATGTGGCAGACCTCTTCTGTCCTGCCTGCTGCTCCCCTCAACAGTGTATTTCAGTCTGCCTGTTCTGATCCCCATTCTGTCTCTGGTGAACCCTCTCACCCATCATATCTCTGGCCTGTACCCGAGTTCTCATATGTATAAATAAATACATTTTTTTAAAAAGAATTGAAAGAGGGATCTCAAAGATAATCGCATACCCATGTTCATAACGAGGCAGCATAATTCATAATAGGCAAGAATACATGGAGGCAACCCAGGTGTCCATAGATGACTAGATGAACAAGTAAACAACAAATTATTTGTGTGTATGCATACACACACACATATATGAATAATATTTAGCTGTAAAAAAGAAAAGAAATGCTATATATCCTATAACATAGATGAAATTTAAGGACATTATAAGTTAAGCAAGCCAGTCATGAAAAGACAAATACTGTTTGATTCCACTTACACGAGATCTCTGAACCAGTCAAATACATATAAGCAGAAGATAGAATGGATACCAGGGAGTGGTAGCAGGGGTTGGGAGTATAAGATGGGAAAATGTTGTTTAATGAGCATAGTGTTTGTTTGATGTGCTGAAAAGTTCTGGAGATTGATTGCACATCAATTGAATATACTGAATGGAATACTAAATGGGTAACTTTCATGTTGGTTTTTACTATAATTCAAAATAAAAAATATTTAAATTCTATTGTAATGTAAAAGTACATAACTGATATGAATTTATTAGATAGGATTTTTTAAACCATTTCCTTCAGATTTAAGTGTTGTGACTGTCCATATGTTTAGTGATTATACAATAAGGAAATTTTCTGAAATTATTTAAAAGGTAAGTAATATGCCAAGTTGAATAATTCTTTAATTTTAAAAATCCTCAACAAAATATTAGCAAATCAAAGTCAAAAATGTATGAAAAGAATTACACACCATGACCACATGGGATTTATTGCAGGTGTAATAATCAAAGTCAATTAATGTAATACATCACTTCCAAAAGCTAAAGAAGGGAGAAAAATATGATTATATCAATAGATGCAGAAAAAGCATTTGGAGAAATCCAACATCCATTCATGGTTGAAAAAAAATACAATTCAGCAAATTAGAAAAATGAAAATTGAAGCTTCAATAAAATACCACTACAAACCCACCAAATGGTAAATATTAAAAAGATTGACTATAAATTTGTGGGTGAAAATATGGAGCAATTGGAATGCCATTAGATTACAAGGGGCACAATTTATAAAAAACTTTTATTTTATTTGCTAAAACTAACCATGTGCCTACTACACAGCTAGAAGTTTTATTCCTAAGTGAATGTGTACATGTATCTTTCAGAAGACTTGTACATAAATGTCCATAGCAATTTTGGGTATAGTAGCCAAATTTTGAGTCACCCCTATATGTCCACCAATCAGAAGAAAAAATATTTTGTAGTGTGTTCATATAAAGGGATGTCAACTCACAGTAAGAAAATGAACTACTGTTAGATGTAGAGTTAAAGTAGACTGTTCAGTTAAAGAAGCCAGCACAAAAGAATACATCCTGTGTGAATATTATTGAAATGAGGTTCATGAGCAGGAATAATAGATTACTGAGGAGAGCATTGGGGTGACAGTAGTATTGGCTAATAAGGGGCATGACAGTACTTTCTAAATAAGACACTGCAAATATTCTGCCTCGATCAGGTGAATGGTATTGCCAATGATGTGTTAAAACAGGCTTTTGTACCACTTAGGAGCCCAAAGAATTGTCCATAAGTTTTGCAAGCTGAGTCACCTCCCATGGGTAGCTTGAAATTGACCAGGGTAGGAATTTTACACCATGAAAATGTGCAAATGCTTTTAAAATTGGGGAGAATCAGTTGCTGTTTACTAGCACAGCACTTATTCCTCATCAGTCATTGGCCTCTGTAGAAAAATCTTAGAGATTCAAAAGGAGGACAAAACTAGGCAGGTACTAAGGAATGTCGACATGAGCCTAAGCCAAGGAGAGCTGAGGAGAAGCTGGTGTGCTGTCGGACATGTGGCAGCTCGAGTAGATACTATTTTGATTGTGTATGAAATAAACTGTAAAATATTGTATTTTCCAACCTGCCTTAATCCAAATTAGGTTTTTCCTCTGTGGTCTTAAAACAGCTAAAAGATAGACAAAATTAGCATACCCCATAGACTCCTTTTGACATGTTGCTCAATTTGTAACCTTTCAGCTTTGAATAGTTCAAAAGTTCTTTGTTTCTGCTTTTTTAAAGGAGCATTCTGGAAGAGTTTTCCGCCTCCAGTTTGATGAATTCCAGATTGTCAGTAGTTCACATGATGACACAATCCTCATCTGGGATTTCCTGAATGACCCAGCTACCCAAACTGAACCCCCTCGCTCCCCTTCTCGAACATACACCTATATCTCCAGATAAATGATCATACACTGACCTCATGTTTGCCCAGGTATGAAAAAAAAAACCTGTGTACCTAGCGTTGTGATCAGGAAACAGAATATTGCCTATAAGGCGTTGCTGGCTCATCCAAACATCTCATGCCCTTTTCTTCTCCAAGTCCTGTAAAATGGGGGCAACTAACAACTTGAGACAGGGCTGGGCTACGCTGTGGGTGCTGCCTTTCACCAAGGCAGCCAGCCTCAGTCCTAGATGATACTGGGTAATAGAACTAGTAATTCCTGACCCATTTATCTAGTAGCAATATTGAGGAAATAAGATGACATTTTATCAGTTTGAAAACTAAAGGGAATGACAAAAAAAACTCAATTTGTAGTGTCCACCTCAAACCATTACCTGTAGCAGAGACCCTCTTGATTAACCAGAGACATCTACTATGTGAGTAGAAAAATCTCTTGGTGAAATATCATGCTGACTTTTCACAGTGCTGTCTTTTTGTTGTCATTTTATTTTGAAAGGTGGTTTTTTTAAATGCCTACTCCCATTCCCCACCCCCTCAATAAAAAGAAAAGAGCTGTCTTTTGACCTTAGAAGTAGCTGGTAAGAATTCCCTGCATCACTCTTACCACTCAGGTCTCCTACCTCCCCCTAAGACAGAAAAAGATCCGAAGATTAATCTTTATAGATGTATATATTGTGGTATAGTCAGGTCATGCCTGCTCCCCTAACCAGTTCAGACATATTCATTAGACTCTGGGAAAACTGCATTTGCTACCAAGGAGCATTGCCGACTTTATGATTTCTCCTTTCTCAGCGCAGTTATTGTGGCAGAGGCCACATCTAGTCCACTTCTCTCTGCACATCTTTTGTAGTGGTTCTTCTGAGTGTGGTGGTTCATACCCTCTGGTTCACATCAGTGTTCACTGTTCTCACAGAAGACACACTCTTTTCATGTGTCTTCCGCCTCAAGCAAGTCCATAAGAATCCTAGCTATGTGCCTTGGGGCAAGTAACTTCCCTGGAACCTTAGTCTATTAGTAAAATTAGGATTGTAAACCTCATTAGCAAATGATTAGTAAAGTGAAGGTACATACCTTCACAGAGCTATTGTGAGGAATGCATTAAGATGTTTATATGGGGGCCTCCTTGGTGGCACAGTGGGTTAAGTCGCAGCACTGTGAAGCTATCTGCAGCCACTGAAGCACAAGTTGGATCCCTAGCTAGGGAGGGACCCACATGGTGGAGCAGACCTCTCCTTGCCTCGACTGCTGCGCCCCTCAGCAGGTTATTTTAGTAGATCCACCTGTTCTGCTCCCCATTCTGTCTCTTGTGGATCCTCTCATCCCTGCTCCTTTGGTCTGTACCCCATCTCTTGTATGTAAATAAATAAATCTTTTTTTTTTTTAAAAGACATTTATATATAAGACTCTTAGTCCTTAGTAGTATTATTACATAACAGTAAAAGGTGGTCATTATTTATTTTTTAAATATTTATTTATGCATACAGAACCGGGGTACAGGCCAGAGCTACAGAGGTGGTGAGAGGATTCACCAGAGACCAGAGTGGGGAGCAGAACAGGCAGATTGACAAAGTACACTGCTGAGGGGAGCAGCAGGCAGGTCAGGAGAGGTCTGCTGCATCATGTGGATCACCTCCGGGGCAGATCGAACTCATGCTGAAGTGGCTTTAGCTTGTCAGTGCTGTGCTTTAACCTGCTGCACCACCAGGGAGGGCCCACTTTCTGCCATTTTTAATATTCTTCCTGGTTCGCTGATTGTTTATATCTCTATCTTTCTCTCATCCCTGAAACACAGACATCCCCTAAGGATCTCTGTTGGCTTTTTTCCTTATCTAAGTCAACTCCTTAGGCTTCCTTATCTCAGGACTTCAGTTCTCATCTACTTGAGAGTACCAAGAGCACTTCTGGGCACACATTGAGCCACCACTTTCCCATCCACAGCACTGGTGCTGTCCACCAAGCAGCTTCACCCTATCTCCCCAACTCTGGGAACGGCACAGCCATGTTCCTGGCCACTCAAAGCCGAAACTAGGAGCCATCCTCACCTACTCTCACTGTAGGGAGCGTGTGAAAGCTGTCACTACATTTAATCTCAAAACACCAGAATCAGTTTGCATGAGTAAGGGAGCCCTGATCATTTCAGTCAGTCCCACCAAGACCCCAAGTAGGGCCTGTGACCTTTAGCAGAAATTCTGCATGACATGTGCAGGGAGCAGGCATTAGGAAAGACCTCCAAGTCTTTCTCCCAATTGACAGCTGAGATAATACTCTTCTCATAGTGCAAGTGAGAAATAGAGGAAAAGGGACTAATGACTCTCTGCTCTGTTTTCACACAGGACTCATTAAAGTTGCGGTATTTAACATAGCTGCCAATACCAGGATGAGCAACAGCAGTAATAATCAAACTACTACCCACTTTCCCGGACTAGCCGAGGAGCGGGGCTTTGAGACTCCTGTTGGGACACAGTTGGTCTGCAGTCGACCCAGGACGGGCTGCTCAGCACAGCTGACTGCTTCAGTGCTGCTATCAGAAGATGTCTCTTATCTTTCATGAATGATTGGAACTTTAAACCTCCCTCCTTTCCCCTCTGCACCTGTTTTTTCCTCATTTGGTTCCAGACAAAGATGACTTATAAATATATTTAGTGTTTTGCCAGAATCTCTCTTGCTTTGCCATTAAGCAGAAGAACTAGTTTCTACCCTGTGTAGCCTTCTGGGACTGGCCCACTTCTAGGGGACAGGGGGTGCAACTTCAAGCCAGGCAGCACCCAGTGCCTCCCTGTGAACTGCAGGAATGCCCAGCGCCTGGAAAGATGGGCCCAGCCCCATTATACCTAGGAGGAGACTGCTGTCTGTATAGCCTCTGGGGCAAGAAAGAAAGGAAACAAGAATGCACAGTGGAAGATCTAGGCCTCTTCCATCTTTCTCTGTTTCTGTCCCTCTTCCCCCACTTCCCTTCAACCTGTTTCCCCACTTCACCTAAGAAGAAAGAATATGAAGAGAGTGTCCTCAGTTAGCATGAGGCAGATCAGCTAGAAAATACAACATTTGGAAGAATTTACTGCTGTTCTATCAAAATTTCAAACCCAGGCTTTTGCTGCAAGTGACTCTGTGTGGCAACAATGGATTCTCAGACATGGTTACTCTCGTCATATTTGCAACTCTTCTCTCTTCTGCTAATGCACCCCCTCCATTAAGGGGGGAGGGGGTAGAAACTTCCTGGGCTCCATCAATGGCCACATCTTTTTCTGGACTCAGCAGTCTCCTTGATTCCATGTAGAGTGTGGAAAGGAGTTGCTGATTACATTTCCTCTCATTAACAATTAGATGTGTAATAAAAAGCATTGTACTTCATCTTAAATCACTGGTAAGGCTCAGCCTACAGAAAGGTTTGAAGTGGCCAGGGCCAGCGCTCAGTGCGTTCCAAATGATATTTCACATCTGATTCCTCATCAGGGCGGGCCTGTAGCAGGTGCCTGTATCTTTGTCATGGCCATGATCAGGTAGTCAGGATTAAAAGTGGATTTTTTTTTTTAGGTCATTAAATATTAACCCTCAAAAGTCAATCTAATGATCTCAGCCTTGCACTGCAGAACAACCTCCTGCTTTTCCAAATCCCAATACTTCTAAAGGTAAAGCTGCCGGAGAGAGCATCAGGGTGAAGTTTAGCACACAGGGTTTATTAAGGGGCACAAACTGCCTTTTTTTCCTTCCTCCTCCTGGCCTTATTTTACTCTACACTCTCCAAACAATAACATTTCTCTGGCCATTGGTAAGCAACATACACAAAAGAACCTCAGCAAGGGCCAGTGACCCTGGCCACTGGCAAAGCAGCCTGGACCTGAGGTCCAAGGTGTGTGTTGGCCTGACCTGGGGGGCAACAGGAGCGCTGTGAGCTGCACCTGCTGTCTCCTGGGGCAGGAGCAGACCTACACCAGTCTAGACTTGTGGGCACGCCTGTCGAAAGCCCGAGTCCACAGTGACTCTTAAGTTTCCCTTGGGAACTAGGAGCAGTCTCTTGGAATAGTCAGGCCGTTATTTGTGTTCTTAATGAAAGCATTTGAATAAAAGAAAGCCCCCTTTTAACCAGTTACTGTAAAAACATCAGAATGGAAGCCAATTGCAGGTGACCTACAAGCCAGGCCACCTTTTTGTTCAGCACAGGGGAAGGGACAAAACCAGTTGCACTCTTGTCTCTGATTTGCAAGAAAGGATCCTCTTCCCCAGATGTACCCAGTATGTTGGTATTACATACTAGGAGGCAGGTTAAGCATAGGCATTTTTCCTTTCCTGCTCTGAATGTGTTTAAGGTTTTAATTCAGGTTATATTCAGAAAATATTTCCTGGTGTAATGATATTTATTGCTAGGGAAATATTTCTTGAGTATAATTCCCTTCCCTATGACCAAATACTACAGAGAAATGTTTTCTGTTTAGCCACTATCAGGGTTCCTTGTCTGTTGTGTTGACTCTTGCTGACTTTTTGATTGGTTAAGGATTTTGTTATAGATGAGACAGAGGGCTGCCATCCTGAAAACACAATAAAGAGGCATGGGTTTTGAGCTGTTTCGAAATACTGCCCAATAGCCATAACTCTACTAGCCCTCTATTATATGCTGCTATTCAAAAGTGGGAGCTGTTGAATATTCACTGGTGCCCGGGTTTTGCTCTCCCATCTAGGTTCAGTTGAAGGTGCATTGTTTCTCAGACTGTTCAAGCTTGTCCAGAACATCATAAATGAGATCAAGGGTGGACCCTGCAGTCGGGAGCCATTAGCTCTGTCGAGGATATTCTCCAAGTTGTCCTCTGCTGCTGATGGAAATGGGAATGAAGTTAAGTGGTCTGAAAAACTTGAGTCAGTCACATTTCTCAGCTCTGGGGGTCATTTACCAGTTCATTGTAGAAGAAATAATCAGGTAAGTAGAAGTTCATTTCCAGAGAAGGTAAACCCCACTTACCATCTCTGCATGATTTCAGTGGGAATTGATTATCACTTATCCCCAACTGGGCTAGAATAAATGTAAAGATTGACCTTTTTAAAAAGAAAAGAGAGACAAAGAAGATAACACTTTTAAAGAAGTGTAGAAAAGAAGCTGAAGGCATCTCTTGACTCTGAAATGAAATTTCTCCAGTATAGACTAATCTCTTCTCTCTGCAGTTTGCAAAGAGGGCCTGGAAGAATTGTTTCCTAAAAATGGGAAGAAGCCCTTTCAAAGGCAGGCGAGGAGTGGCGCGTGCTCCCACACCTGGGAACGCTTGTGAGCTTGGACAAAACCAGCATGCCCGTCTGCGCACGTGCACACGTGTGTGTGCGTGCCTCTGTGTGTGTGTGTGTGTGTGTGTGTGTGTGTATTCCACTGCTGAGGACTACTTATGTGCAATTTGAAAGTGGACATGAATTGTGAAGGAGAGAACTTTTACACTTGTTCCTTCACAGAATTCTTTTTGGTGACTTCAGGAATTTCAAAGACAGGGACATTGGAATTCTGTTGACAAGTAATAAATCTGGCCCTCGTAATTTGTTTCTGAACTGGAAGAGATCCTGGGACCCTCTAAATAATTCTGGTTTCTACTTAACTAAGAAAAATCTTTTTATTTTTCTTGTGTACAATCAAAAGCTGAACAGAAGAAAACATTCACTCTCCTTGGCCATCTCTTACCCTTTGGTCTGAGCAGCTGCGCTGGCTTAGCAACACAGCCCTTGGTTGTGTATGGAAACAGGTCCATTTTGGAGGGGTGTGATATCAGAAATCATTGCAGTGATTTTGTCTTTCCTAGAATTAGATCAGATACTCCGGCGTCGTTGGACTTGGTGTCTTCCATTTTCCCTACATGGTAATAATACCTCCTGCCTGACACGGAAGCACCCAGCCCAGAATAGTGCAGGCCTGCAGGGTTAGTCTTCAAGCTTGCTTCTGGAAAAATCCAAGATACTTAGGCAGAAAAGGGCCTGCAAAACCTTTTTACTTAAATCCGTACTCCTCATCTCTGTCCTCAGTTAGATGAGCTTGGCAGACCCCATTCAGCTGGAACTGAAGAACCTGGGAACTGCCCTTGTTTCTCCGTGCCCCCCTCTCTCCCTTCCTAGAATAACTCTCACGTCTAATAAGTGTACCCAGAGTCTTCAGGCTGAGTTGATAAATCTGGGTGTCATTCACATAGGTGATCGCCAAAAGACTAGAACCCCTTCTTTATCCACATTCGCAGCCTCATCAGTGCTAGAAAGACAGCCTGCTCTTAGGGAGGTAAGCTGGGTTTGGGTTTTTTTGTTGTTGTTGTTGTTGATTTTAATCTGTAGTTCATCTGTGACCTCAGACTCCTTGCCACAGAGGAGAGAAACTAAAAATCGTAATAGCATGGTTTGGGCTATCTGATTTCAGGTGAAAACTTAATGCATTGATATCCACAAACCTCTTCTGTTGGAAATTGAATACTTAGGATCTAAAATTTTCTGGAGGCAGAGAGCATCTAAAATCCATGCACTCCAATACACTTGCAACACACTTGCTCAGCTTCTGATTGGCATTTGCACGCGCGTGTGTGCGTGTGTGAGTATCAATGCATGATAAAGCATCACTTCCCCTCTGTCCCGTTCCCTTCTTGGACACTGAAGAAGACGGACTAGGAGGGTTAGACCTCTGGGTACCCAGGAAACTAACACTTTCCCAAATCATTGATCACTCCAGCCCAACCCAGACTGTTCTGAGTAATGTCCACTGGATCATTTTCTTTCTGGGGCGGGCTTGGCAACAGATGGGAGCTGTGCTGAGAGCTTTCGGCTGTCCAGGCCTCTGCTCTCTAGAACTGCTTTGATTTTTGTGATTATGTTCTGGTGATGTATATAGTCAGTGTACCAATATGTTCATAACCTAGGATCATGGTAATATAGTGTGTTTTGGTTTTTTTAACTGTTCAGAAAAAAAAGTAACTTAAATTGCAAATATAAGATTAAAGTGAATTTTTTAAGTGTCTTGTCTCTTTGCCCCAACAACAAGAGAGCCAGTTTTTCAATGAATGTGTGTATCAAGGGAGTGCACAGATAGCTTGTAAGATAATCTTACATGAGAAAATAGGACTGAAAAATACCAGAGCTGAATGGTGTGGACAAATGTGGGGTCCCCAACATAGTTAGTGACCTGGGATGAATAAAAGTAAAGCTACGGTGATGTCCAATTTGGGAGCTTGTCACCATAGCTTCAGCCTCCCACAACTCAACCTGAACCTAAACTTAAGTCTCTTTCCTGAGAGGGTGAGAAGACTTAGATCTCCCTTGCATCGCATGTGATACGTTTCTCAACAAATGCGCTCATATTTGTGAGCAATCTCCAGATTCCAACCAGCTATAACAGTAAAGGGTGCTCTGACATCTGGGAAAAACACTGCTGCTCCCTAGCGAGCCCGCCCTTGCAGGTGTGACAGAAGGGACTCCTGCCTCTTCACCGCTCCATCCCCGTGTCTCAAGCAGGACCTTTGTTTTACCTCTGGGCTGCTAGTTGCTCTCCCTGCTTGACCAGGCTCCCTGAGATGGATCTCAGGTCCTGAGATGATCTCAGCAAGCCCCAGGACAGAGCTGTCCCTGCTGGAGCTGGACGTACCAGAGCATCTGGCATACTAGCACTTAGCATACAAGCAACTCAAAAGCAAGAAAAGTGACGCCCCCTCATTGCCTGAGACCACACTAGAGTCTCTTCCCTAACAACTGAGGACAGGCAGCCAAAGGTGAAGCCAGCAGAGACCGCTCAGGTCATTGACATCCATTCTTCTGTCACTCTCCAGCTGGGCTCCTGAGCCCAGACGAGCAGAGGCCAAGCCTAGGGGGTTATGGGTCTCCTCTTGTAACACAGCGTTATGTCACTTCCCCCAGAAAGACTAGAGTCCAGAGCATACATACCCTTGGAAAATTCAGCCCAGAAGTCTGTTTCTTAGGCTCTGTCACCATCAGCAATGACTAAGGGGAGGAGACCTCCCTTCTTCCTGATTGGCTCTTGCCAATTAAGAGCATTTTATTAGGCTGCTAATTAAAGACACTTCGTTAGCAGCAGGAGAGGCCGGGTGGGTGCCTGGTGAGATGAAGCCGAAGCCAGGAGAAATTGTTTTTCTCCCCGATGGAAGCAGAGCCTCTCAGGGAACCCTCTCAGTCCCCCAGCCTCTCCCGCTGAGCCTACCACACCCCTTGGTTTCAATTAGCAACTCTGAGGGGAGTGAGGTCATTACCAACCCAGGTGGAGAGAACACCCCTGCCTCAGGCCACATGAGGCTTTCAGGGGCCATCCCACCCTAGTGCTTTTCTTGAAGTCTAGGCCACCCAAGAGTGGTATGTGTTTGCGCACTGTGGAACAGCCAGTGGTGGAATGTCTACTCCTCACCAAAGTCTCACTGAGTCCTTAGGAAATGTCATCTTCCTACCTATCAGTTTGTAAGGGTTTAGTGAATAAGTCCAGTAGACCCAGAGTAGGTCTATGAAGAGGAGAGGCAGACGATTGTACAATCCCAGCTACACTGTCCGGGATACCTCTGGTCTCTTGAACTGGAATGTCTGAGGCATTTCCCCTGCATGATCCAGATGAGCCCCAGGTCAGCCCCTTTCCCGAACAAGAGAGGAGAGCCTGGCTCAGACCTGGCGCGCAGAAGCTGGCGGGCAGGGTCAGAGACCTTTCTCTCCAGAATTCCCTGTCCCATCTTGCTGCCTTCCTCACCCCCTCACTTAACTGCAGAATTAGCACCAGCCCAGACTGGGAGGGCAGATTTATGGCTGGGCCTGCCTCCCTCCATTTAACCCGAGGCCAGCCCGGGCTCCAGACACTAAATTAGATTTTTGACAATTAGAGAGACTAATGGGCACATAGCTATCCCCAGAGCCAGATATCCAGCCAGGCCGTCCTTTAATATCCACCACTGGCGGCCAGCCCCTCCCCAGCCGCCCTCCTCTCTCCTGTGAGTGGGCATTTCTTCCCCAAGCATGATGCTATCTCCCTCCACACAGACTCTGCTTGGGCTCCTGAGGTGATTAACCCCTCCCGCCACCCCTACTCTGGTGCCAGCTCTGTTCTGGGGCCCTGTGCACCATGCCCCCAACTCCTCGGTCACTTCTCTCTTCCCCCTTCCCCAGGGTCCTCCTCTAGCCCCTAGCGTCCCCAGTGATTGCAAGCCCTTTGAGGGCAGGGGCTTGTGCGCTATCCGGGTCCCAAATGCTCAGCCACCAGAGGTCGCCTCATACAAGCCTGCTGCCTTCCCTTCCCGCGTCAGAGCTGCTGGATGTCCAGTGACTCCCACTATGCCCTCCAGGCCCCACGCTCAGCCCTGGCCCTGGCATGGTAGGTTCCCCTTCCCTGCAGCCCCTCAGCTCTGGCCAGTCTTGGGCTGGGCAGGTAATGAGATTGCAGTGAGTGGTGTGGTGGGGGGGGGGGGGCCTGGGCGGGGAAGCTGCTCACATTCACTCAGGCAGACTCATAGCTCTGTCAGGCTGATTGGTCCTGAGTGGAGGCACAAACGGCCCCCCATGGACACGCTGAGATTGGTTATAAAATTACAAGCATTTGTTCTGCTGTCAGTGGCCTTCCCCCCCTCCCTGTCTGCCTGCCTGGGCTCTCCACCACCCCCCGCCCAGGCCTCTTTCCCCTGAGGTCATCCCCACACACCCTGTAGGACCCTGACTAGGACCACCATAGCAGATGGGGCCAAAAGGCTGGGCCACCAAGCTCCCCTCCAGGCAGGTCTTCATGTCTTGACGCTAAGATGGCCACAACTCAGACTGGCCTCAGAGTGACCTGACCCTGGGCTCAGGGTCTCCTGAAGGAAGGTGAGAGTGGGGGCCCAGGGCAAACAGCCCTTGGAAGATGCCCCAAGTACAGGCCTCCCTGGGACAATCAGTCCCCACAGCCTTGAGGTGGCCCTAGAAAGGGGTAACAGGGCCTTCCCCACTGAAGGAGAGAAAAGCAAAAGCCACTTAAGTGGAAGAAGCCTGCTTCTCTTCCCTTCACATGGCCAGTCCCTGGCCCTGTACCCCGATCCCAGTTAAGCACTAACTGACACATACCCCCACTCACCCATCCCTAGCCCTTCAAGCCTATGCCAGAACTAAAAGCCAGTACAGCCCACCAGGGCCCTGCATGGTTACCCCTTCAGGCTGAGTCTCACCTGGTTCCTTCCTCAGCCTCGCGTTAATGGCCTTCAGTCCCTGTGACCTTCATGGGGTCCAGTACTTCCTCCCCCCCCCCCCATGTGTGGTTGTACCTTGGAATTCCGTTCTGTATTCTGGCCATGGTGCCCACTCCCAACTGCCCCTGCTTGGCAGAAACACCAGCCCTGTCCCTCTCACCCTAGTCTCTTGCTTCCTTCTCCCCTCCCCAGCAAGTCCTTGGTTGGCCCCTCCGCTGCAGGTCTGTCTCTGTCCTTTCAAGAGGCTGACCAGGGCAGCCTGAAGCTAGTTTGGAGTGGGGAGCCTTTAGGAGGTATCATCTCCTGGCTGCAGACTACAAGGTGCTTTCCTACCATCCGTCATTCATTCTGGGTCCAGAATGTATTTGCTGTAATTGCATCTTTAATTAGGCTTGTGATGGCTCATTGTTCACCAACAATGATGGATCAGATCCTCCTGCTCACGGCCCCACTCTGCCCAGCATCTCCAGGTCAGCTCTCTCCTGACTTTGGGGTTGGACCTTCCCAACCCCAAACCTGCTCTCTTCCTACTGAGCCCCAGACACTGAGCACCAGTGCAGCCTTGAACTTCAGCCCAAGGCCGATTATGTCTTTATCTCTGGAGGCTCCCAAGGGACCAGTTAGACCCTGACACCTCCACCCCAGGCTCCCTGAAAAAAGATTGCAGTCTACACTTGGCTGCCCCATGTCTCCTTGGTACAAATGAGCCAGTTGAGGGGAGGAGACCCATGCTGCCCCTAATCCAGCTATATGCCAGTGTCACCTCCCACCCCCAGGATGGCCCTGAGCCACAGATCCCGCATCCCTGGAGCTTACACGGGCAGTCTCAAAACTCAAAGTAGAAGCCCTATCTCCAGCCTTCTATAGGTATCAAGGGCCTCTGGCCAAGGTCTCCACTCCTACAGAGTCCCAGCGGGCCATATGCCTAAGTCTGCACATAGTGGGTGTTCAGTGAATGGTTGGTCAATGAGGGGAGACTGCCCTGGGAGGGCAGGGCTCAGAGTACCTCATTGGAGGCCGCAGCCACTGAGCAGAGGTATGGGTAAGATCCCGGTCTAGCACCCACTGCTGGTACTAGCTGAGCTCCCTAACCTAAATCTCAGTTTCACATATAAAATGGAGAGGAAAGCAGTGCCCCACCGCATAAGATAGCTGCAGATTCGCCGAGGCACTGCGCAGAAAATGAAGAAACTAAGATGCTGGCGGCTGCAGGTGAAGGAGGTTCTCGGCTCTGGCTGGCCCAGAGCACCCACAGCTAGGAGGCGGCACCCACCTCGCCTGCCCAGGCACTGTAGCCCAGTGTGGGTCTGGCAGGGCAATGACTAGGCCCCTCAGGGCTAGATGCATGGAGGCTGCACAGGACATGCTGGCGAGTCCAACACCTTTCAGAGCTGTGGGGGCTCCTCCCCACTGTGGCCAGGTGTGGGCAGAGGGGTCCCTGGGGCCGGAGACACCCGCCAATCCCCAATAGAGAGGGAAGGGCAGAAGGGAGAGCCTGAAGGCCAGCATGGAAGTTTAGCCTGTACCTTAGCTTTAAGGGGGTCTGGGCTTCAGGACAGGAGAGGGGAGGACAGAATAGGTTGCCCTGTGCCCTTTTCAGTTCTAAAATTCCAAGAGTCCCCCACCTCCATGGGGCCCTGGCATTTCCACAGAGCCTCTCTGCCCCTAGGAGAGGCCCCCTCTGCATTCCCTTTTCCCCAGTGACTCTCTCCACCCTGCAGGAACCCCCTGGTGACTCCAAGGCCCAGGCTGGAAGGATGAGCATACCTAGCGGTAAGTATGCGCAACATTACATATGTA